ATCGACGAATTGCCAGTGGGCGTGCAACCAGTGCCGGCTCCCTAACGAGTACGTGACGGTAGCTAATTAGGTTAATTGAAGGCGTGAGCCACCGACATACCATCCACGTTGTCTCGTATCTTCCTCCTAAACGATCATAGACCGTTGATCTGACCTGTTTCTATTCTATACGATTCTTCGCTTACTTATTTAATTAAAACTAGTTTCTACTTCAAAACAACATCAAGATAGGAGCTCCGAATGTTAAAGCACACCCTTTAGTTTCAGCTACTTCCTTCATTTTATCATCATTTGAAAGAAAATGCTAATTCCCATCGGTGAGGATCGCATACGATCACGTGGCAGAATAAAAATGGAACACCTTGTATACATACAGGATACGCTATATCCGTCAGGATATACACAGAATCCGAGCAAGCAGGAAACACGTTGGGTATCTCCGATACGCTCGCGTCCCTACATTCCCGCGCGATCCAATGTTTCTTTGCCCTTTAGTTCCAGCACGTTTAGCACAAGCACATCTCGGCAACGTTATGGCAGAAGAATACGAGCGGCTTTGAACGTGCGTCAAGGAACAGCTTTCGCCTCCTCAACCGTGCGAACCACCGCCAAAGATCCCGGAAGTCTGTCGTATTAAATGCTTCCACGTGTACGGACAAGGTGTGTGTATATATGTATCTCAAAAATATATAGGTACGTTTTGCGTGCGCAAACTTGATAAACCGTTACACGATGTAGGAGTAAGTTACACAAGGTGTTTCAAAGGTAAACCTTTCGAACTTGTGAAAAATCTGGATCGAGATTGCATTAATTGCGGATAAGAAGATGATAAAAACACGGAATCGAAAGTTTTCCTCCGTGACACGTTCTCTCGACGGAGAAAAGTTCGTGCCCGGAATGAAAAGGGCAGAAGTGTTGTCCAGACTCGAAACTGAGTATTGAAGCAAGTGGCATTACCCAGCGTGGCTTTTCTTCCGTGTGTCGTTCGAGAAAGAAAGTTGCTCGACCAGGATTTTCTACGGGAACTCGTTCATTACGAGCGCTATTTACGATCGACACGGTCCTATGATTCGTGAACACGTAACTGGCATAACGATTCGATTACACTGACCTACTACTATGGACAAACAACTCACGCCAACAAAATGGCGTTCCAATGAACTGGAACAAAGAATTTTCTATCCGATTAGAACGGAAGAAGAGAATCTAAACTACTGTCACTCATCGGTCTCGTCGAAAATAGAGTGTCTGAAAACAATTGCATGTCTTTTTTTTTTTAAACAACCTACTTCATTGAAAAAGAAACGAATGAAAGATTACGAATTCGTGATAAACATTTTGTGCATCACCCGAAAATAATAACAAGACGCGTATAAAGAGTTAATTCAAAAGCTCGCTCGGAAAATGGTGGGTGGTAGATTTTCGAGGTCGGTGTACCGTGTCGGAAAAAAGCATGCTCGCGTGTCACACGGACGTATTCTTTTTTGACAACAGTCGGCCGTTTTTATTTCTGCTTAGCAGATAAGAGAGGTTCTTCCTCGCTTTTCTTCTCGTTCTCAGCGCACACCAAGGTGTTTACAGAAGCGGCCAGGTGGAAACGTCCTCTTCGCCACCTCGTATGCTGTGGTAAACGAGAGAGTATTGCTGGCTTGTACAGGTGTCGAGTTGCGAGAAGTTGCCCATCCTCCCATTCTCTTTCCCCTTTTTTCGCATTTTTCTTTCTCGGTTCGCTTTCTTACGGAACGCAGACCACACGTATTTTCAAAAATGAACCACGGAACAACAAAGATCGACTTCTTCATTTAAAAAAGAATTAACCGAACAAAGGACTCTACCTAACGGTGGTTGTTTCTCATTCGTGTACGACCGAGTGCATTACCGTAGGGACATATCGAAGAAAAAGCCAAGATCTGTCCTCTTTTCTCTATAAAAGCCCGCTCCATCTCTTCTGGCCTCGTCTTCCACATTTACCCCGATCCCTCGAGTCGACTAGTCTCGTTTCGTTCGCTCCTGTCGCGGTCGTTGCTCGTTCTAAATCACAACTTTTCGCCGTACGAGCCACGCTACATGGAAATGCAAATGCGCACCGTTAATCTCGGTAATAAATACGGGCGCCTGCTGCTTAAGTTCGCAGGCGCACTCTCTCGGTGCGCCACGCCGCCGGCGTACACGCGTCCTCCAACTTTTCACCACGTCTCCTCTTCTCTTTCCATTCGATTCGTTGTTGAAGCCACTCGTCTTATTCCTTCGGCGTCTTTATTTCCGATCGCGAAATGGAATGGACCAGCCACGAGTACCGATACGAACGAACTCGCGAACGCGATACACGCAATCGACCGATGGAGACCGCGAGTGCCACTTTACGATCTCGTTGCTCGAACCTTGGATTTACGGACGACTAGCTTACTCGCTCTCCCTTACTCCCTTTTCCCTTCCACGGGAATCGTCCTGGATTCTTGTACAGTTCGTTGATCTCACAACTACTTCACAAACGAAAGAATACTGAATATAATCCGATCAACTGCAGCGAAATGCATCTATGCGTTCAGTGTCTTTTATTATACAAGATATTTAGCGAAGGAAATCGCAAACTGAAATTTGGAAGTGACCTGTTCAACCCTCATCATATTTTCTAACACTTCGATTTCTTTACCCTTCTCTCTGTAACTGATCAACGAATAATCACAAGATTTCTGATACTACACGCTCACAAGCGTTTCAGTCAGAGCTTATTATATCACGAAGGACGTATAATTCGCAATAGGTTTTCTTATATCGTCGAAAGTACGGCAATAAAGGGGACGTCACGTTCCTGGTCGCGAGTGTAGACCGAAATCTGGTGGACGCGATACGTGACGACGACAAGGGAATCCTTTTCCTCTTTCTCGAATAAGAATGCAAAGGTTGATCGAACTGGTAGAAAGCTAAAAGCAGACTCCTTTGCTTTACTTTTCTTGCTCTCCTTCTCGTTTGCATCTTTTTCTTCCTTTCAAGCCTTTGTCGAGTTTTTCTGTGGCTTCTTTGCAAAACGCATCGAGGAAAGAAGGTCGGCTCGAGGTTCACGGTAAAGGTGCGGTTACGTGTCGAGTTTTTCCCTTCCGTTGTTCTCGATTACCCGTTCACGTTCAATGTCGGGATAAACCGGATGATTAACAGCGAGATTACGGTTTTGCCGTTCATGTGGCACGCGTCGTGTGCCCGAGTTGCCACGCTCGGCTCGATAACGCTCGCGTTACACGCCGGAAAACGAAGAAAGTCGCAAAATTTGTCGAACACGCAGCAGGTGCACAGCACGTGGCCGCATGAATCCACGAGGCTCGTAAAACGGTTATTAGGAAAGTTTAAAAGTCGCGAAACACCTGTTGAGCAACGGTGAGAGGCAAACGACGATGACTCGAAAGGTGATTCGAACATCGTGCGGAAAAATTGTATCGTGAGCTGCTCTTTAACCTTTTCATTGCTATTGGCACCTGTATGTGATTGGACTTCAATTGTACGAAATGGGAAATTGATCGTTTATTATACAGACTCTACCAGAAAGGGTTAATTTTTCAGTTCCGAAGACCGAAAGATAATCAAGTGACAAAATTTTCGTATACTAAACTCTGTTTTCGAGCTCCGTTTTAATCCATTACTTAAAACGAATCGACACTCAATGAAACATTTTTTCTTGCAAGCCTGAATTGGCGCTTCTGGCGCCTCTTATCTACCCTCCCGGTATCGAATTTCGTGTTTTTCTGAACTTCAGTCTGAAGTGTAAAAAAAGCGCAGGAGAAAAAAAGTAGATCTACCGGGCTCGGCATCCCTCGGTAAACTATTGTCCGGGCGCCCGAACATCGGTCAAACCGGTTTGTCGAGTTGCCAATTTTTTAGCCGCGACTTCGGCGTCCAGCTTGTAATCTTAAGATTTCACACGTTTTTCGAGCGGGAACCGGTTTGAAATCTTATGATGCCACTCGTGCCGACGCGTCAATGTAGATCCTATATTCCCGGAAATGAAGCGTGTGTAGAAACTGAATGAAGCGCGAGAAGAATGGGTACAAAGCATGAATCAAATCAACCAGCGAATGGAAACAAAAACGTTCGTAAGTGTTGCTGTTAATGAAGATAGAATAATAGGAGACGCGTGATATTTCCTTTTCAAATTTAAAATACCGCTGAAACTTTATTTTGTGCGCTCCGCGAGATAACAAATAATTACTTTGGAGGCCGCGTTTTATGAAGTCTACGACCTTCATGATTTTATATGTAAACAAAAACCTACTGATAAAATTGTATTCGAGCAGTTTCATAAAATTACAATTAAACCTAAATTTAAAGAAAGGGGGTGAACAAGAAACAAAATTGGATGAAGAGATACCGAACGAGCTTTTGGCTTCGCCATAACGGTCGTGTGGGATTTCTCTATAGATCCTCCGGGCAGCTGCTACACCGCTTCGGTATTCATTTTCCAGATTCGAGACTGAAATCGGAACACCCTGAAGATCGTACGTGTAACGCCAGAGGATCGGCCAAATGTTTCCTGAGGGTACGACGACAAGAGCAGCAAGAAAAAGGAGGAGTTGAAGCGGTACCATATGGTGGCTAAACGATCTATCGACAGACTGATACCCTAACAAGCGACACCTTGAAAACACCGTGAATCTTCGACATCCAGAAAAATCTATTATTAACCTCCTATAATCCATATCAGGGATTACTGTACGATATTCGGATTTAGTATGAACAAAGTTCCCTTGTTTATGGCTTTAAGCTGGAACCCCAAGATGCTCCAGTTCCTTAAGCTCCTTAGGATCCATAACACTTTGACGACTTATGGTCGTTCATTGATTGCAATTGGCTTTCGTAATTTTTCATTTGAGATTAAATAAGATGGAATGAATAGGTGACACCGGATGTTAAAGTGTTAAAAATCCTATTTTTTCGAGGAAACGCTATCGGGCTTCCGCAGGGTATCATGGTAAATGATACAAGATGAAGACTTTGGTAGACAGACTTACCCTGACGGGAGCATGGAAGAGCGGAGCGGCGACGGTATGCGGATTAGCATGGTGGTGAGCGTGGTTATGATGGCCATGGTGATGGTGTCTGGTGTCAGGACCACCTCCTGCAGCCGCCTGTTCGGCCTGGACCGACATCGCCGCGCGGGCCTGTCGTTCCCGCTCCCGAAGCCGGTCCCGGTCCACGCTGAAAACCCAAAATTCCGTTTTGTTACTTCCCTTTGATAGATTATACCTAGTGCGAGATAATTGGGAGATCATCGATACGCTCTGAAAACTAATACCACCCACAAGTATTCGTTGCATACCAAGAGGTTGAATTATGACAACCACTTTACATACTGTGTTAATACTGTCCAGTATCGGATACCCCAAAATATAGTGATAGATATTGAATTAAATGAAAAATGAAAGAACTAGTCTCCTAAGAAACATTGATCGATAGATTTTTTGTAGCAATCTAACGCAATCTAACGCAATCGAGTCGCATTAAACATTGATTAGTTCAGTATCCGTGACATTGGCTGATCGAACGTACCATTTCAAGCTCGTGCTTTTTCAATACTCTGTCGCGTTTTTTATTCAGTTATTTAGATGCAGCCGTGACGATCGGTAACGTAACGAGCAGCTTTGTCTCCGAAAAGGAAATTCACGGAGGAGGAAATTTTCATAGCATCCGCGTGATTCACCAGAGAATAACTGGTACGTTTTAGGAAGTGAAGATCGACGAGGAGGAAAGGAAAGGAAAGGAAGGGAAGGAGGATAGACAAGGGCAAATAGAGACAAGAGAAGGGCAGCTGCAGGCTGCGCGAACACCTGTTTAGTCGCGTTTCCGGCGACGCCATGGATTGCGTACGAAACGAACGTACACCGCTGCAGATTATCGATTCGTTGGCAATCGTCAATTCGAAAACGACCTTCTCTTCTTTTACGCTACGGATCGAAACCCCTTCTTGTTCGCTCGTTTCTTACCCGCGCGAAGATTAGAATCTCGGTCGACGAATCGCTTTTCAATTCGATACAATTACGATTCGCTTCGAATCCAGACTATTCGTCGATTAAATGCCTGCTCGACGAATCTATTTTCATGCATAGAGCGAAATCGCATGGAAGAATCATTGGCGGAAAGTTCTATCCGTTTTCTAACTATTTGATTTTTCCAAGCTGAACGCTAGCAACGAACAATTATTACACGATTCTACGTTTTATAAGAAGTTTCAAAGCCGAAGAATCTCTAAAGGCAGAGATCTTGTGTAAATGAACGCTGGAAAACGCTTTATCATCGCGTTATATTGAATCAAAAAGTTCATTTAATTCTCTCGTTGAATCACTGCTAACGCTGACTACGAATTTAAATTACTCGAGTAATTACGACAAGATAAAAGATAGAGTCCCAAATACCATTAATACTTCAGCAGTAACATGAAAATTAAATGATTGTACTCTCAATTAATCATATCAAAGTATGCCGTACAACATGTGCTTCGTTTCCACTATGACAAGATGTTAATGACCTGCATTGAATTTCAACGAACTACTTAAAATAATTTCCTCGACGCGTTAATTTCTAACGGTTAGAAAACATTTATCTCGTGAAATAATAGCAGAGAGTCGAAAAGGGGGTGGTTATATTTTCATGTGCTAACAATTGTTCGGATCGAGCAATATCGAAGCAATCAATTCTTTCATCGAAACGTACACGATATCGAATGCAGCGGTTCTTTGTGTGTCAGTTTTTCACGTCGACCGGAAATATCGACGAGACAAAACGCGGGAGAAGATCGAACACGTTGATAGCGTGGAATCGTGCAAAATTCACGGCTTTCGACGCGAATGCGTGGAGAGAGGAGGCGAGATGAGGAGAGATGAGGAGAGACGAGGAGAATCCATGGGCCAGGATTCGTTCGATGGAGTCAGGGGCCATTGGCCGACAAGCCGGCGACGGGACGGATATTACCGGCGGCAAAGCATCTCGCCTCGTTCCTCCATGCACGTATATCTCCTCCCATTACGAGTTTAGAGATACGACTGATTTCCTGGTTACTAAAACGCACTACTACTCTCTCTCTCTCTCTCTCTCTCTCCTTCTTTCTTCTCTTATTACACGATACTTTCGCGAAACGAGCACAGCGTGGACACCAGCGTTCCATCGATTAGCAAAATTCAATAGAAACGCTTGCGAGCACGTGTAAAATGAATAATAAGCAACCAGGCGTTTAAATATTTTACACTTGTACTTAGTTAATGAAATTTAACTTTGAAAAAGGCTATAGATTTCAATTTTAATTGGAACCCATCAGTGGGTTATTTAACGATTAATTGCATCCGCGTATATTTGTTCGCGTAATTAAACATTCGCATAATTCAGATACCAATGTATCACGACCATTCGAATCCGAGAGATGAATAATCGTCGAGCACGATAATCGATTCGCGGGTTACCTGCTAGGAAAGTGGAAAATTTTCCTGATCCCTGGGAATCGATTTTCTCCGCAGGCTCCTATCTCTCCATCCTTCTGTCCGTCTTTGCCGTGCGTCGAGTTATAAATTAACGAAATCGGTAATTAACGAGCTCTCGACGCTTGGCGGTCGCGGTGCGGTGGCGACGAGGAAACGAACAAGATAGCGAGAGTGATTACGGTATTAAAGAAGGAGAAAAAAGGCCGTTGATTCGTTGGGAATTTGCGAACGTGCAATCTGGTATTTTAGCCTTCGTTGGCTTAAAATAAACGCGGTAACGTTTCTTTCTTCTATTCGAACATTCAACGAGCTTGTTACTCCGTCTAATGAAACAAAATCTTGGATAATTAACCTTCTCGTTCCGACACGATTCTGACAAAATATGCCAGTCACACGTCATCGATATCCTTGGTTTTTCAGGGATTTTCGCGTCACAGCGGTATTATGTGTACAGATGTTGATGATTAACGCGTCGCTGATGACGTAAATCGAAGTGGAACCGGTATCTCTGAACGTTCGAATGTCGCAAAAACAGGTGAAATCCGTTGGACTCGACCGATCGCTAATATCCGATAGAATTATTTACCGGAGTCATTGGAGTTTTCAGTTGATAAACGAGAAGAGGCTTTCGATCGGGCTAGTTTTTTACAAAACGAAAACGAGAATCGCTTTTCCCCATTTGCAATACTCATTCGTCATCGATGGCCTGCTGTTGTAGGATTTTTTAATTAAAAAAAAATACACACACGCTCGTGTAACCACTCCATCTTCGATTGGTCCAGATCGAACGTTGCAGTCGATGTATTTTTTCGACGAGTATTTCGGGAAGCTTGTTAATTTCTGTTGTTGGTGATTTTGAGAAATCGAAGCATGATAGATTTTCCTCGTTCTCAAAAAACGATGAAGGTTGTTGGTCCATTTGATATTCGTTCTTTACGTTGAACGCGAACTCCGCTCCATTTGATTCGTGTAAGAAGGGCGAGTATACTTGATAGTTGGTCATAAAACAGGGTCGCGATGTTTTATTGACCGAACAAGGAGACTTGTTCGCTTCCCTTCGATAACGTAATAATCTTTTATCGCGCGATTCAAGAGGATATAGGCCAAGCGGATAGCCTGGAATACCTTTTGACGGTTGGCTTGTTCTTTCCCGGGCGATCAGGTTTTTTTACCAACGCCGAGAGAAATCGATTCAATTGTGTCGCGGTTCGATGGACACTTCGAAAAACCTTTCTGACGGCTGATTTTTTTTTATTTGTGTAAAACAAATCGATACCGAATGGGTTAAATGAAGAGTGTTCAATGCGTGCGAAGCGGTTAGTTTTTAGAAACGTTCGCGGACGCGGTTGTGGAAATTTTTTAATTAAACAGAAAAACATTTGTCGTTTTTAAAAATTGTGAAATAGGTGGTTCAGAAGAAGCTTCGAGGAAGACGACAGTTTCTCGTCGCAAAACCATCTTCCCGTTGAATCACAATTGACGAATCCAATGACTCGGTTCCATTGACACTGACACACTGACATCATTTCGCGGTGCGACAACCTTCGAAAGCCGCGATTCATTTCTACGCTCGCACGTTAATCTCCTTGAACAGAACTTACCCGTGTTGCATCGGTTACTATAGTGTCTATGATATTCCGCCAATTCCACCAATTGCTGTTAAATAATAATCGTCACAATGTTAAAATTCCAAGATCAGAAGTGAACTAACAGCGGCACTATTTTGGGCGGGAAACTCAGAACTCAGACACGCGTGCACTCGTACAACAATTGTAAACGTGATAAAAGTGGCGGGAAAATCGCGCAAGGTAAAATTTGTTATTACGAATATTTGAATAAAAATGAGTATTCGTTATTTGCGTTTCACACAGTGGGAAATTACCATCTCGAAACATCGATACTCCGAAAGCGAACTTTATCGTCGCTTGGTCATTCCTTATCAAAGATTAAACCTATTATCAGTAGTTATCGTTCTTCTAATCTCGCTACAAAGTATGATGCTAGATCTCGATTCGTCTCGTGCGTTGTTCACATTATCAGAGTCAATAAACAAGCCAATAAATGGACTTGGTCAAAATGATTGACGCTTCCTGTAAAATCACTTTCTTATTACCCTTTTACTGCGGAATCTACTATAAAATGAAAGTTCTTCCGAGGACACTCGGCTTCCTCGAGCTTTCAACGTGTCAATATCCGATAAAGATATTCTACAGAGGTATCGATGAATCGTAACCGTTGTTTCGACCCCAATAAACCCGTCTTCGACGATACAAGTCGCTTTGACAAAGGAACGCGTGAGAAACGATTGTATTCAAGAGTGGAGTGGAGAAACGCGATTAACCATCGATTTATTAACCCTTTCAGCTGTGAATATCTTCGTAAAGTAGGGACACTGTGGACTGAATACCTCTTCACTTTCGATACGTACATTTGAGCCACGATTTAATACAAATTTGATACATACAGAAAACAAAAAAAAATACAGCAAAAAAACGAAATTCACGGAGTGCAAAATGTTAAAAATACAGCGAGAATCGTTGTGAAAGCGATATCTGGCGGCGCAAAAGTCCGATACCAAAAAAGTAAATCGAATATCAAAACGAGATATCCATTGTTCGTCTACGTCGTGGATTCGGTCGGTTCGTGATCGTGAAAGGGTTAACGCGTTGAAAAATCAGCGAAACGAGACTGATAATTTCGCAGAAATATCGAGGGCGATGTTGTTGG